CTATTGGCTTACCGTGAAATCTTGTCAGCATATGAAATTAAAGTGTTAGCACCGATAGCTGAGTTGCACTATTCTGATGTAGTGGTTTCTCCTTTGGTTTGAAGGAGGTCTATGGAGAAAAAGTATGGCTGAGACCTGAAGCAGGGCTGTCCAAAAAGTCAGCTCCTCCAGGGTAGTGCAAAGATTAATTACTTTATTCTCAGATGATTAGTATTGATTCCCAGGACACGAGCTGGGGGCCAAGCAAGTCTGAAGGATCCAACTTCAAAGAAAGTAGAGTCACTGTAAGAAAGTGATTTTAATTTTCACCTTCCTTCTCCACACAGCTCTGAGCTGCTTTCTCAAAAGAGATTAATCCTAGAAGAAGGCTGCAGTTTGTGCAGAGCATCAGATGCACCAGCCTCGTGTGGTAAGTCAATGCTAAGTTTCACTTGTATTTGGTTAGAACTGTATTCCTCTATGAAAGTACTTCTATGAAAGCTGTAGGCTTATATTCCCAATTAGTATTGCAATTTAAACACTCCCACAGCTGGAAGGGAACAATCAGCAAATTATTATTGCCCTAAAGTTCATTCTTTGGCAGACACTTGGTTTTTCTTGAAAGAAAAGAAACTTCACCAGGTATATGTGGGAGATGTGAAGGCATCATGACTGTGAGTCAAAGCCATTCTCCAGAGAAAATGCTTTCTTTGTTTCTATAGCTGAGGGGTGCTGTATATATCCAAAACTAACAAGTGGGATACACTTTCAGAAACTGGACTTTGCATGGTTAAAATCACAGGTAATGAATACTCCGTTTCCTATGCTAAGAAGGCTTCTTAGGGCTTGCTGGATTTCCTCCTTTCTGCCTTTGACAATGGACTTACCTCATCTGACCCTGTTCTGAATTAATATTTCTATCTTTGCTTAGACAACATCTTTCAGAAGTCAAAGCAATAATATCCTGGACTTTGTATGATAAAGTACTTCAGCAGTCATATCAGTAAAAAATAGGTGAAATGTGGGCAATGTTCAGACGTGGTTTCTCATTAATGAGGTAGTGCCTGCTGTATATCAGGTAACGTCAGTATTTAGCCTCTAGGGTGCTGATTCTTAATCAGAGGGGAGAATCCTGAAATTGTTGGATCAGGTATAATAGGGACTGGACCACACATGTGGTCCTTATTCTTTTACTGGTTCTGGTGTCAAGAGAAAAGACATTAAAATGTTATGCTCCCCTTCCTATGTTTGTACATACTGATATTCTCCGTTATTTCCTTGCAAAATAGATTGGTTTCCTCAGAATAATTCGTCAGCTAATTCAGAACAACTTCCAGGTGCAGGAAGAAACCTGCTGAGGTGAGAATGGCTTGCCCTTGGCTTACTAACCAGCTCCATGCACTTCAGTTTGTATGTATTGTGCTCCTAGAGTGCAGCTGAAATTCACTTAGGGGTCTATTGCTGAAAGCCTTCAATTCACATGGAAGCTAATGCTTAAAGCCTAAAGTTTCCATGCTTTTTCCTCTTATATTTGCTCAAAAAAAGTATCAAAAGGGTAGAGGAGCCCTCAGAGGCTGAGCTTGACAAAGCCTCCCAGCCCTGACAGCTGATAGTGGAGATATGGAGATCCAGCAGCTTTTGGGAAGCGAAGAGTCTGGGGTGACTTTGCTCCAACATACTTCATCTGCTCTGCCATGGACTGCGAGGGTCTTGCTAGAGTGGCAGAATGAGTATGATTCATGTGATGGGGTGTAATGTAGATGTATGAAAAAAATCATTTTGCTCCAAATGACTGTATTTCCTGTAAGACATTTAACTTTTGAAATTTGACCGCAGTATTTGAACTTTATCCTCATCTGCAGACACTTCTGCAGTGTTTTGTCTACTGTTCAGTCATTGCTTTCTTGAGAAGGAGGAGTTTTAATCTGCAGAGCACTGGCATCCAATGAAGCTTGAAGTGCTGTTCCAGATCAAAAGCTGCTTGATGAAATCATCAGTGTTGCGGTGATATTTTGTCATATAGTGGAATGAGAACAGTGAATCACACATTTCTTTGCAGGTTTCACAGAGCACTTTGGTCCTAGCTCTTGAAGCTGCTGGGCTTATGACAAGTTTTATTGCTAAACTTGATTACTTTTTCGGTCCACTCTCAAGTACTCCTGATCTTGAGCAGGCAGTGTTTGAATGGGATCCACTTCTCCCCTGGTACAGGAAGCAGTGACTCAGTACTCAAACACAGAGGCTTACTTTGGCAGGGAGCCTGTCCCAACTCTCACCTCAGCTCAACCACTCCAGTTCCCTTGTGACAAAGACTGGGGTGCTGCCAATTGCTGAAGGGATGGAAGCGATCTGGTGTCAGAGGACCAGGTCTTTTTTTTGTTTTTTGTTTTTTTTTTTTTAGCAACTGCCTTTCTTTGCTACCTGTACTGCTATTATGCAGTTTCCCTGAGCAAAGCGGTGGTGTGGAGTGGTTCACCCTGCACCTGAAGGTTATGAAGGAAGTGAGCAGTCCAAAAAAGATGGCTTTTGTAGGTTTATGGAAGGTTACTGTAGTGTTTCCTTGTTTTTTACGAGCAGATATTGTAGAAAGTGAATCATATGCTGGCAAGTGAGACCTTCACAACAAGTTGTGTTAATGCAGACATTTCCCCAGACTGGGAGCAAAGCCTTAGAGCAAGACAGCAATGCAGGCTGGCCAGGACATGGTGGGGTGCTGCTCAGTAGCAGAGATCTCCACTGTACCTAGTGCTATTAGCTGTCAGTCTGCAAGGTGACCTTAATGGGAACAGGGTGGGCAGGGCTGTGCTGCTGTTGGCGGGGCTAGTAAAGATTTCTGGGGAGCGTGCTGGAGTGAAATTATATGCTAGCCCTGATGCGTTGTATTTTCCTGCCACTTTGGTTTCCTGTGCTGGAAACCTTGCACGTTGCATTGGACTGCGATCAGGTAGAGCCTCATTAAGCAAACCCAACTAAATTAGCACTAATGATGTGTTGTGGTAGAGTTAGTGCAGGAGGCCTTGGACCTGGTCAAGGCCCTGGACCTGGTCAGGTGGAAATCAAAAGGCATTGCTGATGTTCTTCCTTGCTAAAGCTGAAGCAGTTTGATGCTGTTGTGCTGTGCTGGTGCAGTGCAAAACAAACAAGAGTTTCCAGAAAGGGTTGTTTGGGGGAGTACTCCAAAGCAGCATACCCTACCCTCAAATCTTCCTTTCATAGCTTGCTTTTTTTTTTTTTTTAAATCTGCTTTACATTTTTATTTTACCAGCTTTTATGATCGCAGTGATTTATACATAAAGTTATCACTCTTAGTGGTTATGCAAGCCACTCCTGCAAACTTGCCATTAACATATTACCATGGTGACATCCTTATCACCATTTAACCTTGCAGTTCATTACTAAGCAAATCCCATTCCAGTGTGATTTCCAGGTCAGGACAAAAAGCCCAAACAAATGAGTCTTATCTTCCTCTTCAGGCACTGAGTGAGTTTTTCAGGAAATGGCCTGAGTTTTGCACATCCATCATGCAGTTATGTCAGGCAAACTTTCCAGACCCCATTCTTTTGTTTCCATAGAATCACAGAATCACCAAGTTTGGAAAAAACCTCCAAAATTATGTAGTCCAACTGTCCATCTACCACTACTAACCCTGAAACCATGTCCCTTTGTACAACATCTGAACGTTTCTTGAGCACTTCCAGTGAGGGTGACTCCACCACCTCCCTGGGCAGCCTGTTCCAGCACCTGGCCACTCCTCTCCCAGCAGCTGCAACGGGCTTTGTGGGTGCAGTGGGCAACAGGGGTTCATGTTGTTCTTAGCAGAGAGAGCAGCTCCCCCTTTTCTTAGTTTAGGGCTCCCTGCACGCTTGTGGGAAAACTTCCAGGAAGCAGTGCCGATCCTAATATCACCTTGCTGCTATGGTGCAATTAAGAGCCATTAATTTTCCTTCTGTTGGTTGTGTAATAGCACTGCAGGGTGTTCTGAATGCTGTGTGTGAATGAGTCTGCAATTGGAAATAATGAAGGTTAGAACCTTCTTGCATGACTTAATGATCAAATTAGTTCGTTTGACCCAGAAAGCAACTGCGGTGGCACCAAGCTCTGTGTTAGGAAAAGGGCCACAGGTTAAGAGTGCTGCTCAGCCCTGTTACTTGAAGAAGGGACCGCAGTGCCCTCTGAGGCGTGGATGCCCCTGGTAGGCAGGGTCCTGTTTGGCTCTGGCTGACAGCCTTTCTCCAGTCTTCCTGACACCAGCCTCCAGCTGAGATGCCGACAGAAGGGTAGGGGTCACAGGGGACGCCAGCTCCTGCGGGAGGCCGTTAGCAGAAGGCTGGCATACACCCAGGGCTGCTGAGAGCCTTCGTGGAGTGGACAGGGCGCGGCACGGCTCACCCCAGCCTCTGGGCGGCTGAGGGGACAGCTCTCCTCGCTCGCTTGGCGCCACCTACTGGGCTTAGTTGGCGCGTGGGATTTCTGTTATTAGGCGGCTAGTTCGGGGCGCATTCGGGCTGGGCACGGCTCTCTGAAGGGCCGCGGGGCCAGGCAGCCCTGCGGGGGGAGGCTCGAGTGTCAATCCTGTCGCAGCCCCCGGGCACGGTACCCGGACCGCCGGGGGGCGCCATCGTCGCGGCCGCGCCGGGCAGCATCTCCGCCAATTGTTTCTTCGCCCGTCTCCTGGTCCCGCCCTTCTTTGTTGGGGCCGCCAATAGGAGCACGCTGAAGGCGGGCGGCAGGCCCGTAGCGTGGTAACGGCGGGGCGGCATGGAGCGGCGAGCCCGCAGAGCGGCCGGGGTGCCCGGGCAGTGGGGCTCAGGGTATCGCGCGGGAGGCGGGTAGCCGCCGTTAGGGCCGGGGTCTCGGCGCGCGCGAGCGCACGTTTATACCCATCTCTATTGATAGAGGGGGGCGGCGGGGCCCGGTCGCCCCCCGCCCGGGGCATGGCGGCAGGGCCATGACGGGAGCGGCGGGCGGCGGCGGCCCCCGCCGGGCGTCGGCTGCGGCCAAGGGCGGGGGCCGCTCCCGGAGCGCTCAGCCGCGGGCGGTGGGCAGCAGCAGCGGCGGCGGCTCGGAGGAGGAGGATCAGCGGGACGGCGGGGTGCTGTTCCTTGTCAACAAGAGCGGCTTCCCGCTGGACGGGCAGACCTGGGAGCGGATGTGGGGGCACGTGGAGCGGGTGCACCCCGACGGCAGCGCCGTGGCCGCCGCCATCCGCAGCGCCGCCTGCCTGGCCCGGGTAAGGCTGCGGGGCGGTGGGAAGGGACTGCGCGGACCTCCTGCGACCCGCTGCTGCGGGTCCGTGCCCGCTGCCGAGCTGCCTCGGCGCCCGGTGGCCGGAGAGGGTGGGCCCTGGGCCGGCGGGACGGTGCGCGCAGACCGTAGTGAATGACGAGCCCCGGGATCGAGTCTGCCGGCTTTGTCCGCGCTGGGTAACGGAGCGCTCGCTCTGTGCGCGGCGGCCTCCTGCTCCTAATGGGGTGCGGTGAGACGGTGGAAGGCAGTTCCACGCGGGCTGCCCGCAGCGAGCCGGGACCTGGCGTTCCGGGCATAGGGCGGTCGCTGGCCGCGTTGCGCCGTTCGCAGCATCGGCCCTCGCGCTGCAGCGGCCGTGCTGTCTGTGGAGGCGTAGCTGCTTAGAAATAGCGATGCAGGGTCAAGGTTTCCCGTTGCTCCACTCCCGAATCCTACTTGCTTTATAAATGCGCGATCCACAGCGCTGTGTCTCCTCTCGGCAGCCCTGACTTCCCCACTTGTACGCACAGAGCTGCTGTGCTGGCGGGCTGGGACCGGTCCTCTGCAGGGCTGTGCTTTGAGGAGTAGGACAATGCCAGGCAGCAAATGTTGTGACATAATGACAGTCCTGGCAGGAGTTTCCCTGGCCTGAGCCTGGTGTAAAGTGTGACCAGAGGAAACGGAGGGGCTCTTTGCAGATAGACAAGAGTAGGGATGGGAGCTACAGCTCTTCTTCTGTCCCCTCTCGTTTTCCACCACTGCCTGTGCCCCATCTCTGTAGGTACTTCTAGAAACCAGGGATGAACCTGTGGTTAGGAAGCTGGGAACTGTGGAATTTTTAATGCTGCCTGATCTTTGAGAGTGTACGGCACCTTCTGGGGTGTGCTCGGTCCTTTGTGCTTCCAGTGGCGTTAAGCAGGAGCTGCATGCTGCTCAGAAACATGCAGGGATTGAGCTCTAAGCAGGTGGAGCTCTGCCCACTGACCTAGGACACAGCTGGCCCAGATCTGCTTGCCTGGCTGTGGTGTGACCAATGTGGGCCAGGTGCCTGCATAGCCGCATTTGTGCCTGGGACTGGCCCAAGATGCAGAGCAGTCCAGAGCCATTTGTGCTGCAAGCTCTTATGGTGCTGTGGTGATCTTGTTCCACGTGTACCTCACGCACATGTGTGAAAGACATTGACATGGAAGGTTTCAGCACCAAAAGCTCAGGCCTGGCCCAGGCCAGCCCAGCCCTGATAATTGGGATGCCTGCACTGCGTGTAGTGAGGGCTGTGAGTCCCAGCACCCATCCTGTCCCCAGCAGCTGGGGGCCTAAAGGCTCTTCAGCAGTCCAGCTCTGGTAGGTTGAGTGAGGGCCACCCCACTGCCTCGATGTGTTGTGCATGTGCAGTGCAGGCAGGTTTTTATCTTAAAGGAGAGTCTGTATGGGATTGAGAGCAGCAGCAGTTACATCTGGAAACTTTCATTCACTTTTTTTTTTTTTTTTTTTTTTTTTTTTTTACTATTTCTGCTCTTGAAACTTGAGCCCTGTCTCAGTGATTCATCCAAGCCAAAGGGGTAGGGGGTGGAAGGAATTTGTGAAACTGAAGAACTACCTCTAATGAAGAGTGTATGCCTGGAAATTTGTACTAAGAAATGCTCACCATCCCCACTCATGACTTGTGGCAGCAGAGCTGTCTGCGTGGTTACCGTATCTCTTGCTGCACTGAGGAAGCTAGCAGCACACTGGAGCCACAGCCGTCTGTCTGCTTCCCACTTAAAACACATTTTTGTGTGTCAGTAGTGTGAGTCTCTTCCTATCCCTTTTCCAAGGCCTGTGTACTGTCTGACAGTAGTAGCGAGCTGAATGTGGGTGCCGATTTCCTTGGCAGGTGCTTGTCACAAAGCAAACAGTGAGCAGCTCACTCAGAGCGGAGGTGGGAGCCTGGGCAGCCAGGTCCATGAGAGGGAGGCTCCACCTGTTTTTATAGATGCTGACCCCTTGTTTTGCAGCCTTGCCCCTGCGTTAGCTGGGAGATGACAAGGAGCTGCCCCTTCCCTGTGTTGCTGTGGGCTGAGGAGCCACATAGCTGTGGGGATTAGATGTGGATTGAGGGCCTGGCTTCTGATGGTGCTTTGGCACCAGCTGATGCCTTAGGGGATTTCTGAAAAAATCCCATTATGGTACAGTCTCTATCTCTAAGTGTCTTAATACCATTAGCTATCGGGTGCCCTCAGATGGCCTTTTGGCCCTACAGATCCCTGCCTGGCAAGTGCTGGGATTGTGTTTCTGTGAGGAACCTGTGTGTGCGGGCTGCACAGGTCCTGTCCTGTCCCCATGCTGCAGGGTGTGGGCAGTCCCTGTCACAAGTGGGATGGCTTTGTCCTGTGCCCGAGTTCACTAAGGTGGGAGTCATGTGCTGCAAAGCTGCACGGTGTTAAATGCCTTCATCTGTCTTAGTCAGCCTCCTGTGAGGAGTGGTAGCTGGCTGACCTCTTCTTCTTCTTTCTGTGCCCAGCCCTCGGTTCCGCCCGTGCCCAATTACAAGCTCTCCATGTCCATCCCAGAATGGCTGCAGGCAATACAGACCTACATGAAGATGCTGCAGTATCCTCTGCACAGTGCGTACTCTTGCAAAGAAGGCTGATGTGTCCAGCATGGAGCACTGCCTCGTGGGTTAGCAGGGTTTACTGGAGCTGGTCACAAGGGCCGAGGATCATCGGGGGTGAAGGGACAACTCTCAGCACTGCTACAGACTTCTTGAGCTTTTTCTGAGGAGCGTAATGAGCCACAGCAAAGCAGGAGCCATGGGAGGGAGGGAGAGATTTTGCAGCATGCATCTGCATTCTAGCCCTGCAGCCTGCCCCTGGGACAGCTGTATTAAGAGAGGGGTAACAAGGAAGGGCCCTTTCCACATGTCTCAACTGCTTGGAGTTTTCTTTGGAGCGGCATACATCAACCTGGCCTCCCTGCTGCTTTGTCACTGCCCTGTGCCTGATAGCCAACCCTTCCCCACACTGACAGATAATGCTGGGGGAAGCTGCTGGCCTGGATGCTGACTTGGCTGCTCTTTTCTGTTTGCTTTTTTTCTAAACTCTCCCTCTGTGTGTGTGTGTGCTCTGGGGGAAGCAGTGAAGATGAGGAATGAACGTGAAGTCCTGGTAAGGATTAGGAAGGGATCTGGGTGGCAGCTGGAGGAGCATCCAAAAATAGCAGGGCAGAGGTTGGGATCAAAGCCTGGGCAGCAGCTGCAGGGCAGGCACTGCTGTGCAGCCCCCCTTGGGCAGAGAGAGCTACAGGGAGGAGGGCTGCACAGAAGGGGAGGCCATGTCACACAGCTCAAAAAAACACCATCTTTTCCTCCAGTGGTTTTGAAGTGCTGCACTTTGCTATGGAGGAGGAACAAGTCTCAGAGGTTGGGTTTGGCTCTGTGTTCAAAAAGGCTTCAAAGTGTGCTGGGACTGGGGAGCAGGATCCTGGCTTTCTTTGAGGGCTGAAGGAGGTTGTATGTTTTCAGAGCACTCTGTGAAAGGGTCTCATGAATTAAGTTTCAAAAGTGGGTGGGAGGGAAGAAAGTTTTTTGTTTGTTTGTTTTCCTGGAAGTCTCTGAACTCTAATTAATGTCAGCTCTGAGCATCCTGATGCAAGCTGAAGATTTGTATAGCAATGGTCACACAGCCAGCAGCTGTGCTGGTTGTACCGTGCTGGGGTTTGGTTGATGGGTGGGTGGCTGTCCTCTGGCATCCTTCATGATGAGCTCTCATGTGCTCATGGTGTTAACTTTTGTTCTTGAGTTGCACTTAGGTGGCTAGTTCCATTTTAAGTGCATTGTGTATTTTAGGGAGTGATTTATATTTCCTAAGTGTAAATAGATGTATTGCCGTGCAGTTGATTTACAGGCTGACTGAGTCAAAACTTACAAAAGGAAATTAGTTCTTTGAAACAGTGGATTATGTTGTTTGGTTTGGGCTCTTGCTTGAAGGGGAGACTTTTTTCAAACTATAACCCATTTTTTTTCAAATGCAACCCAGCAGCAAATGGGAGCTAGAGGAAAAAAGAATTCACATCTCCCAAATGCCAAGTGTGTCATATTAGACAAGTGACCTTTTTGCTCAATTCTCCATCTAATGCTGATTAATATGTCATGAATTGTGATTTTATTGTTTGTCTGTTTAAGTTGCTTTCCTTAACATACAAAATTCAGATACAATCACACGGGAACTCAGTTCTTCGAGATCAGAAAATCCAGACCTCTAAGTGGGTAAGTGTCTTTGGAGCTGCTATACTGTCATGCTCCCCCATACGTACTGAGGGCACTCAGCTGATGCAGAGCAATGTAGTGGTGTGGGAGCTCTCTAGTGCCACTGTCTGTCCTGGCACAGCCAGGGCTGTGTGTCACTACCTTTGCAAGGAGAGTCCCAGCTTGCTGCCTCCTGGGACAAGGATCCATAGCAAGCCAGCAAGGGGGAGGGCTGAACTTGCTCAGTATCCACGCTGTAGCTGGCCAAGCTTGAATGTGCAGGGCTGGGAAAATTCAATTCTTGTTTGTTGGTGTTGGGCTGGGAGGGCTGGGCTGTTTTTATGGAAAATATATAAGTCTTGTTATTCTGGTTTGCACTATAATACCATTGCTGAAAGTAGGAAGAGATCAACCGTGCACATTGCTGCAGAAATCTTAATGTTGTCATGGGCTCAGTTATTTCACCTTTGAGGATCACAAGGAATAGCTCAAGTCATGGTCTTGGTTCTCCCTTTGCTGGTCCTCTTGTCATTCCTTCCACCTGGTGTGGATGACAGTGAGTTGCATAATACGAATATGAACATGTGTGCAGGGAGTGTGGCAACAGAGTTGGGACCTCTTGCATGTAAGAGCTGTATCGTGGTTACGACAGGTCTTTGAAAGGACTCAGTAACTTGGCAGATTGGGTGGGTGGTGATGTTGACAACGTTGTGCCTTTTTAGTAGGGCAAAATTTAGACAAGCAGAATGTAATGACTCCTGTAGGCTGTCCTGTCTAGCTCTCCTCAGCTGTCTGTCACTAATAGTGTGTTGCTGTAAATTTCTTTTCCCATCACAGCTCTAGACTTGAAGTTTTCATCTTGCTGACAGCAATCTTTCCCACTTCCTTTCTCTATGTTATTTTACTGTACTGGTGGAACTTGTTTAAAAGAAATCTTGTGCTTTGAATGATGAATGGGTTTATAGACTCTTAAACCAGTTTTCAGGCTGGTCATTCATTTTTAAAGTTGTCCCATTACTTTTATCCAAGGAAGTGGAGAACGAGATGAACTCACTACTTTAAATGTCTGTGTTCTCTTGGGCTTGATGATAGTCTGGCTTATGAGGATGGTGCTTTTTCTTTAAAGTGAATCAGCGTGGAGGCGTAATCAGGGCTCTGGATCCTCTTCTAAGTGGTCTTATTTCCTCCATTTATCTGCCTTTAATGTTTGTGGGCTTGGGTACTCATGTTTGGCTTCTCTCCTTGTTGCAGTGACTTCTGAGCAATCTAATTTGTGGTGACAGGATTTCAGAAGAGCTACAGCGAGGGCCTCTGGAAATGGTCTGGCTAGTAGGAGCTGATTTGCCAGGCACAGTTGTCTTCCTTTCTCTTCCATTAGACTTGCACAGTGTGAGCTGCTAAGCCTGCACTGGTTTGCTCCTTGACATAGTGGACAGGGGTAGGCCTGGCGCAGGATGTGTGTAGGATCCCTCACTTGCTTTTGAAATTAGGCAGGAGCCTGCTGACAAAGCAAGGTTTGTATTTGCAAGTGGATCTGGCAAGATGCTGCACTATCCATTTCTACCAGCTCTTGGAAGCTGAGACTGTTACCAGAGTCGTGATTTATTGCTGCTGAGCATATTGTTTATTTCCTATTGTAAAGGCTCAGGCTAATGAAAGTATTACGAGACCTCTGGCAGCCTGACTTCATGAGAGTGGTGGCTGGACACAAAGAAGTAGAGTGCTAGGTAGAAATGATGAATATTCATAAATTCACGTGAAAGTGTCCTAAAGCAGCTGGAGCATATTAATGAGTATTTCTGCTATGGAGGGAGGACTATTATGGAGATTTACTGTCAGCATCAATGCAGTACATGAGAGAATAAAAATGTCTGGCTGGGCTTAGGAAGGAGAGCATAAATTATCCATAGGAGCACGTAACGTTAAGCAATGCAGGCTTGATACAACTCTGCCTTTATAATCCCTTTTATGAAGAATTCAGCTATCAACTTGCATCTAGACTGCCTGGCGCCCTGTGAATTTGTCTGGACTCAAACGACGCTTCTGAAAATGATTGTGCTGGTATGGCTTTGTAAGGGGTGGGAGAGATGTGATCCTGAAAGCTGTGTGTTGTTCCTATTGTATTGGCAGCGTGTGTGTGAAACTGGACCTTACCTTGCCTGGGTTTGCTGTACTTTTACAGAACCCAGATTTACAGGTGTAGCATGGATGTTCCTGACCCAGGGCAATGTCCTTGGTTTAGGTTTTGTGGTGTGCCCTTTTATATTGGGGAAGTAAAGGACGCTCAGTGGAGTTCTGCTGATATCTGGTAGGAGTGAGAGTGAGGCTGGGATATTTGTGTTTCAGGCACTTACTGATAGGACTGGTTTTCTTTTTTTCATACAGGATTATACTGGCAGAACTTACATTACAGCTTCTGTTTGTACAACTCTGATTTAAAAATTGGTTGTTCTTTAGTCATCACTCTTTAAAGCTCCCAAGAACGGATCATGTAAGAGCTCCAGAAAAACAAAATTTCCAGATATTTAATGAAGTCTATGAATGTTAATTCAGTGCTAACACACTTTTATTACTGGCTGTACAACAGGCGATAAACCCTCTGCACGCTTCTGTTCTAGGATACAGATGTGAGCCACAGTGTGGAGCAAGCATCTCTGCTCTGCACAGAGTAATGGGGACAGTGTAGGGAGGTGTGATCTTGCAGTATTCTCTTCATTCAGTGTCCTGTTGGTCACTGTAACTCCAGCTGAAGCAGTAAGATAAAATAAAATAAAAAAGCAATGGATTGTGGGTGCTTTGAGAAATGACAGAGATGCCTCTGGGATGTGAGGGTAGAGCCATTCTGTGGCAGCAGACAGTTGATGGCAAGAGGAGTCAATAGGAGCAGACACATGGAATCTATGTAACCAAATAGTACGGAGGAGAAAAACCACAATACTGTTTCAACACACCATATTATTAAGAAACCCTGATGGGGCTGCAAGGGAAAATGGGCTCATCCCATTTCCAAACAATAGACTGCAAAGGCTTTTAAACATCTGCTTCTTTCTCACACTGCTATAGTCAGCATGTGGGAGAAGTCCTTTCGCCACTGACACAAACTGGTGGTGAGAAGATCCTTGAGAATGGTGGCTGCACTGCTTTATATCTGTTTACTCCTGTTTGTACTTTTAACTTCTCTTTTTGCTTTGTTTGGGAAGAGTAAACCTGTCAGGAGCCTCTGAGAAGCCAAGAAGAGGGAAGTTCAGTGGGCCTTGTGCAAGTCCTGATGCCTGGAGAAAGAAAATTTAGTAGGAAATATGTGGGAGGATTTTATTATGAGATTTACTGACATCTGTAGAAACCTTGGCGAGGAAAAAATGGTTCAGTGCTCCTTAGCATGTTCATCTCTGAGTGAGTGTGGTGGGCCCCTGCTGGTGAGGTCCTCTAGCACTGGGCGTGCTAACAGGTTTGAAGCTTTTTCTAACCTGTATGTGAGATAGGAAGGGTGGTTAAGAACCAGGGAGCAAAAGGCATTTGTGTTTCACGTGATGTGCTGCAGTCATGTCAATGGAAAGCATTCTAAAATGGCAGGCACTAGTCCTCAGTGCAGAAACCAAGGGCGATAATTCTAATGGGCACCTAAAAACACTGAAATAGATTGGAGTCAATTTACAAGGAGATACTGCCGTGGACCTGGAGGGAGAAGTATGCAGCCTGTTCATGTTAGCTGTGCTTATCAGGGGCAGAAGTGTTAACTGTGGTCTGGGACAGATACCTGCCTGGCAGATTTTAGGTAATGGTGTAAACACAGCAAAGAGGGAAGTTATATTGTGCTAGTTCCCAGCTGCCCAATATGAGATTGCAAGTACTGCACTGGAGAACTGTGGATGTGGAATCTGTTGAGATGACTGGAAGGATTTAAAAGTCCCATAGACAAACCCTGCGCAGAAAAGAAATCAAAGCACATTTCTTTTTTTATTTTTTTCCCTTGCTTAAATCTTCATTAACAAATCTAATTGCGTAGTATTTCTCATCACAGTTAGTACATGTGACAGTGTGGTCAGAATTCAGGAGTGAAATCAAACAAGGAAAGGACAAGCCAAAGAGCACTTGTAATTACTTGTTTTCAACTAAGCTGGATGCAGCGTAGGTTGTTCTAGGTGACTTAGCTGACAAGCAGCCTGCAAACCATTTGTGCTTTGGTTACGGTGTGTAGGAAGGATGAGTGGTGTGGCTGGAAACAGGAAAGCAGTGATACCAGCCTGTTAGTGGAGGGGGAAAAAAAGCCAAAGAGAAAACTCTGAAACTGTGGTCTAGAAACTTCCAATTTATCTGCAGTCTCAGGAAAAAGCTCTAGCACAAATAATCAAGTGTCTGGGACATGATAAAGCTGTAAGGCAACATGAATTTAATTTGACACATTTTATCTCTATGAGATTGTAAAGGCTTTTGTGCGTAAGGGAGGAGTTGCAGAAGTGATCGCTTTAGTATGGCTGTTGGTAGCTTCCAGGTAAGGCAGGGGCAGCCAGCCTAAATAAAATGATTCTGACACAGGGACCCACGCTGGTGAAAAGCTGCACTCAGGAAGTGGCATGCGGACAACAGCTTGTTCTTGGTCTGGCAGAGCTTGTCAGTTGAGGTGTGCAGTATCTGTCCTAGGTCAATTGTTTTTTTCATTAATGGTGTGGATAAGACTAATTGTTTGCTAATTAATGTGCTTTGCACTTCAAGCTGAACAAAGTGACAAGACTTTGTAAGGTTGAACTAGGATTCAGAGTGGTTTTGGAGAGTAGGAGTGGATTGGAGCAAACAGGTGGTATTTTAGTAAGGACAGTTGCAGAGTATGGTTTTGGGAATCTTCAACTGTGAGGATACATGACGGAGAAGGAGAGGCTGGTTTTGCAGAGAAGGATCTGATTTTAGGTATTTATTTTTAAAGACATTCAGTGTGAGTCAGCAGGGCCAACAACACACTGAGTTGGGTTGCAAAAATATAGTTGGATTGAAAAGATAATTAGTGTTTGTATTGGAGTGGTGGGATCAAGTAAAGGGCTACAAGTGAAAAGAGAACAAAAGGAAAGCAAGAAACGTTGCCCAAGGTCTAGAAAACATGACTTATGGCAAAGCTTGGGGAGGGAGGGCTATAATAATAATAGTAAATGTGGGTTTACTTTGTCATGTTTGCAAAGGAGAGGTTGATTACAGCCTTATGTATGTATAAATGTCTGTTGCAAAAGGAGAGTTAATAAATGGTCTCCATGTCCACCGTGGATAGCAGAAATAGCTTCTCATTTAAATTGCAAAAATAAAGATTCAGTTTAAACATTAGGGGAGCTTCTTAGATGTGAGGTTAAGCATAGGATGGATTTACTGGTGGCTTCCCAAGCCTTTGAAAACCCAGTTCAAAGTAGGTTGGAAAATTATCAGTGAGGAGCGATTTGGGTTTGGCTTGTGCTACCTTGGGGCAGAGTGGTGGCTTAGGGATTTTCTGAAGACTGTCTCCAATGCAAATGCAGTTTCTGAGGCTGTGGTTTAACTTAGGCTTGTTAAGAGAGGCAGAGGGGCTCTGGGTGGTTGTTGAACTGGGTCATCCACAAACTCTGTGGCCTGTGTTGCAAATGTGAAGGAAAAAAAAAAACTTTGAGTACTGCCCAGGATTGGGCATGACAGGGTGGTGTTGTTGGATGTGGAGATGCTCAGGGCTCTGTTCAGCTGGCTTTCTGTGCTCCATGAACTCACAGAAGTACTGGGCACCCTCTTGTTCCACACTCAGGTGAGACTTGGGCTTGTTCTGCCCAGGAACTGCCTGGTGGAGCAAGGCTGAGCCCATGAATTTGGAGAGCCACGTCTGCAGCATGGCCCCTGGGCCCACCAGCCAACAGCTGGCCCTGGGCTTCCCACCTGGACTTGTCCTTGCAGGGATGGCTGTGGTTCCTGTGTCCTGATGCTGAAAGCAGGAGCTGGACAAGAGGGCTTGCCATGTTCCCTACCAAGCTGAATTAGCCTCCGTAGATGCTATGTAAAGGAATGGCAGAGCAGCTGCTAGCCTGAGTGGGCAGCCAAAATATAGCAGTGTGTCTTTGTTTTTGTTTTTTTTTTTTTTTAAGCAAGCAAAATGCCTCTGCTGGTCAATTTAAATCTATCTTAATAATTGCGTAGCATCTTGAAGGGCTGTACTTGCAAGCAGAGCATATGTGAAATAGAACTCAGTATTTAAGTACCATGGATATTGCTGTGACAGATATATTGGGGCTAATTTGGCTGCTTATTTAGGCCGATTACTTTGAAGCCTCCCTCCCTGGCTGGGGAATCATTAATATTATATATATATATATATATAAGCTGACAACTTGATGGCAGGGAGCTTGTGCAGGCAGCTGTTAGGAGAGCCAGTGCTGCGTGCTGTGGTGAGGTGGTGACCCCAAGCCCAGCAGCCGCAGGAATTGCCTTGCGTTGCTGTGGGAGGATGAAGGGGCCCCATTGTGTCCCTGCCAGACCTGCTGCTTGGTGCTGGGGCTCCTGTCACTGATTGTGAGCGTGGTGGAGGCAGGCAGGCTGGCCCTGCTGTGCCCGCTGTACGGCAGGCAGCACGTAAAGAGCAGTTGTTTACAAATGAGGAGATAATTTCTAGCCTGGAATCCCGTGACAGGCGGTAATAGCAGTGGAAGCTGCGCTGCCATTTACACTGAATACAAGGTTTAGAATGCATGAGATGGCTGAATTGGGAAGTGGGAAAATAGATTAATGGCTTGAGATGCATATTCTCATCATCTTCTCTGGTAGAAATATTTCTCTTTTTATGAAGCTCTCCTCAGAGAGGATTAGAGGAGACTTCAAAATAGAAGTCATCCTTTGTTTTGGCTTTTAGCATTGTCTTGCTGCAATTGAATATCACTTTTCTCCCTCCTGGTAATTTTTTTAAAGAGTCCAGATTGTAACTAAATTTCATGGGCTTGCCGTCTCTGGGATGTATTGTTTCTTGCACTCCTGTAAGGAAATCCTGCATTTGGGGCAGCCCAGAGGAGTTGGGGAGCAGTAGGAAGGTAACTTGGCTTGCAGTGTGAGTTATCTGTGCTGGCAGAGCTGCAGAGCAGATTCAATAAAACACCTGAAATTCCAGCCTGCATCTATAGCCATCAGCTCAAAAAGGGACATAATCACTGAGGGGATCAGCTTGGTTTCAGGCATGTTCTGCAGTGCAGAGGGGATTGTGGTGCACAGGGAGCTCCTGATAGGCAGCCCTACGTGTGGGATGACCTGGTGCAATGCAGGAGGCTGCTGTTCTTCCAGCACTTCCGATGAACGCTGTCACCTGCTCACAAGGTGGTGCTGTGGTCGTTGCACCCACCCAGCAGGAAGCCATGTCCTCTGCATCCCCTGAGGCCCCTCCAGCCCCAGGGACCCGTGCAGTGGCCCAGACAGAGCTCCCCAGGAACATCAGAGCACATTTAGCCTGCAGAGATCAGAAATGGGGATGTCTGGTTCCAAGAGTAAGAGAGAACTTTGTTCCAACCATAAAGACTAAAAGCTTTTTGTCTCTGTTCTAGGTTGATGGAAACAGCAAGAGAAATGACCAGGGAGTCCTTACCTATCAAATGCCTTGAAGCAGTCATCCTGGGGATGTATCCTTTCATGTGTCTGTCACTTCTTACTCTGCAGCGCTGCTGAATTTATCAGCTGTCCTGGAGGGTGTCTGAGATGTGCACAGCCAAAGGTGAGTGTACACATTTCAAGGGCTGTCTGTGCTGTAGATCGGTGAGCTGTTGAGCTGATGAGAGATAGGAAGAACTGGGGAGGCTGTGTGCTGTTCACAGCCATCAGCTGGTGTTACAGCAGCCATACTGCCTTTGCTTTCTGCCCCAGTAATTTGTGTAACATCAGGATCTGACCCACAGTGCCCACAAGTGTCTGTCTGTACAATCCCTGCTTTGTTTAGTCGTTTGTTGCCTGTTGCTGTTGAAGCTTGTTAACACATGAGAAACATAGGTTCTGCGTTGTGTTTGTGTAATGTTTGCATACTGAAGTTGTGTTCACTTTTTGTTTCTCAGTCCACAGCTGTGGTTTGTGCAGAAACAGGTGTATACTATAGTTAAATGTTTATGCTCTACCTTAATGTAATGGATATTTCCTACTCAGGTTCAGAAAATAACAAGGGTATTTTTATTTGGAGACTGACTCGCTTTCTAACTCCCTTGTTCTCTCACTAATAAACTAACTTGTTTGTCCCCAGATGCTGGAAAAGAGCAAGACAGGCCTACAGGTACAGCTGTGCACTGGATAAACCTCAGCACAGCTGATCAAATTTGATTTCAAACAAAGAAAACCGAATCCCAATGCAGAGTGGCTCCTGGCGTGTCTTTGCTGCGTTCTGCTTGCTGCTGCTGCCCCCTCTCGTGGCAGAAGAAATTGACATGTGTTGTAGTGCCCGGTGCTGGCGAGGGGGTGTCTGAGAGCTGCCCCCCTGTGTGCTGCTGCCTCCTCCTGCCTTGGCAGGGCCTGCTGACGGCTTGGGAGTCCTGAGTGCTTGGTGGCAGCAGGTGGCTCGCACTGACACCAATGTGTGTAGGCCTGTTGTGTTTATCCATGTGTCAGGACTCTATTTTGTATTATTTGGAGAACAAAGTGGGGAGGAAATCCCCAGGAGGAGCTGATGCTGCTCTGCAGTACTGGTAAGTGTCTGTGTGTCTTCTGGTGCTGTGTTTCTAGCACTGAACCACATAGCATTCAAACAGAGAGTGAGAACACTGGTGACATAAAGATGACCTAAGAGTCATGGTAACCTAAGAGTGTGTTTGATAGTTGAAAAGTTTTGACCGTTTTATTTTTGATTTCTGAAAAAGCCTTTTTTTTTTTTTGTTTGTTTGTTTTGTGGGGGCAAAACAGTTGAAAGCTCTGATTATGCTATTTTGTATCATTTGAAGTTTCTTTGGGGATGGATTTTAAAGCTTTGAATAAATGTTTCTGTGTCAAGACAGTACTTCCAAAATGTGTATGGAAGGCTTTTAGTTGAGGTTGCCTCATGAGAAGGCTTAGCGGGGAGAGTGGGACAGGGCTCTCTTTTCCTTTGGTTTCCAGTTCCTGCACTGGAAGTCCACTGTGTAAGAACAGGGGCTGCCTTCTGGGGTGGTTGTCTAGTAACGTGTTCGTTGATGGAAGTTAAAAGATACCAGAAAAATATTTAGATTTTATATTAAAGGCGAGGTGTGGGCATAGAGAATATCAGTAGCAAGTAGATGGGCCTCCTGAGTGTGTGACTTTTGGAAGTGGCCCTTACAAAGCATGGGTCCCTGCAGAACCTCATGGTGTGCTCCAGATGTGTTTCTGGAGCAGATCTCTGTAACAACATGACCTTGGCTGATTTTTTCCTCAGCTATGAGACTTTAATCTTCAGTGTCACCCTCTGGATGTGTACTCGGTTAGGCAGCGGCTGTGGCATAATTTACAGGGTCAAGCAGCTTCCAAATGAAAGATGCTGTTGCCCTCTGTTCCCTTTTTTGAGCGTCACATCGCTGACTTGCATCCTGCTGAGCTGAGCATCCTGGTGTGTGTGTATGTGTGTTAACCTCTGGTTCTCTTCTCTGTCTCTAGAAATAGGGTAATGCTGTGCTGACAGGCCTTGTCCTGTTGCTTGGCTACCAAAAGGATCAAAGCCCGGCTTTGCTGATAGTGAACCCTCAGTGTGAGCCTCCATTCAGAGCACAGCTTGCGCAGAGCAGCTTAGCAAGCTTAGCAAGGTGTCATTTAACTGAACTGCTTGGTGGCTTGTGCAGTTGCCTTTTGCAGTATGGCTTCTTATAAAATACTTCAGCAGTCCCTCTTGGTGCAGAATTAAGTTTTGCATAATTATCATCGCACTGAATATTGAAGTTTTTTTTATCTGGCAGCAAGTAAAATACTGAGCTATTCTGAATGCACACAGCAAGGGAGCAGCTGCTGTGAGATTACCAGAAGCTCATACAGATCTTCCAGCGTTATAACAATTGCAGCAGTCTGTACAGATCTCCTCCGCATAGCTGTCTGAACTGGCTTTGTGTCTTGTTGCTTTCATGGACTGCTCAGCAGTGCCTGACTGGAGGCATTCCTCCTCCTGCCCTCTCCAGGATCCTTCTGAGTTTAGCTGTACATCAGCTGAGTAATTGTGTGTTCACTACATCCATTATGAGCAAGGATCAAAACTACTTGTGCTCAGGAAAGGGAGTAGTAAACCAAAAGGTGCCAAGGGAATTGTATCCAGTTGTAGTAATAAAATGTGGAGAGCAAAATAGTGGAGAGTGAGTACAGATTATCAGTGGTCCACAGAGTGCTGTCTGTGACAGGTGAATCTAACTTATTCCCACTGACTGCAGTGTCCCTGTCGTGGTTCATGCGAGGTAACCAGCAGACCTGTGCAGTGTATGAGACCTCCTGCTGTCTGATAATGTCATTAACGGGGAGGGCAGAGGTGCCCCTGGAGGAGAGATGATTTAATGGCTTTACACTGCCCATTTAATCATTGGGTGATGTTTATCTCTGCTGGAGTCCCTCTTGCCTTGCAGGCAAGGTCCTGGCTGGGAGTGAGTGCTTCAGTTAGGGGCAGATTTTCTTCCTGCCGTCACTGCAGGGTGCCTTGGGATATTGACATCCTCTCTGTCCCCTGGTTGCTTTCTGCAAGCTTGTCTGCAGCCTGACATGTTTTCTAACTGGAATAGAAGCAGGGAAGGCCTGCTGAAGAGCTGCAGCCCCTCTGGTAGCTGGGAGGAGCTCAGAGAGTTTGTCATGACTTCCATCTTCATGGCCTAACCTTAAATTAGTAGCTCAGGCTGCACCTGGGCATTAGAGAGCTGGCTTCCTGCTCAGTCAGCAGGGTCATGCAGACCAGGGATTTCAGTGCTGCATCAGCTGCAGGTTCCCATGAGCAGCCGTGTCTGGCCAGCCAGGCTGTCCTGCCCTCTTCCCTGGCACCTGGCTGCCCTGGCCTGTGCTTACTGTCTGAGCCTCCCTGCCTGCGGTCACATGGTGCATGACAGTCATTCCCTTGGTTTGGACACCAGTGGGCTGGCACCCCGCAGACTGTTCCTTTGCCACCTGTTGAGCTGGCTGCGGTTCCCAGCGGCTGTGGGAGGCTGTTGGTCGTAGGCAACACAAGCTCGGGTAGCCATGGGAAGCCAGCTGCTGCGTAGATGGCATCAGCTGCTAAGGCCTATTTCCAGAAATGTCAGTGTCCAAAGCCTGGAGCCACGATGCTAGCACATGGAAAGATCCCACTCAGATTATGTATTTAAAAATAAATAAAAAAAAGCATTAGAGAAAACCCTTTCTAAATTTGCTCCTGGCAGATGAAGGAGAGTTCCTCTTCTGGCGAGGAGCTGCTCTGCACTCCTCGACGGGGATCACCTATTTAGGGAATGGTCTGTAACAGAGAGGAAGAATGCTGGGATTTCTGTGGGACTTTTTTGGTAGTAGAGTTTACTAGGGAACAAATTAAAATGTGGAAGGGCCGACTATAAAGCATTGCTGGAGTCATCATGTGGGTATATAGATTTAAAAACAAAACACAAACATCCAGAATCTAGTTTCGCACCAGAGTTTTAAAACAGAGTCTGACTCAGATCATGCCTTAGCTCAGAATGTTCACAGAACTAAAGAATGGTTTGGGCTGGAAGGGACCTTAAAGTCCACCCAGTTCCAACGCCCAGCCATGAGCAGGGCTGCCCCCCCAGCTCAGCTGCCCAGGAACGCATCCAACCTGACTCTGAGTGCTTGCAGGGATGGGGCACCACAGCTTCTCTGGGCAGCTGTGCCAGGGCCTCACTGCCCTCCAAATAAAGAATTTCTATCTAAATTTCCCCTCTTAGTTTAAAGCCGTTCCCCCTTGTCCTATCTACGTTCTCTGGTGGGGCTCCAGATGTTGTCTGTATGCATTTTTGCAGCGGGGGCAGGAGGTGGTTACCCAGAAGGTGACAGATAGGTTTCCTGGGTGATCATCTGAGGAGATCAGCATCCCTCAATACTGATTTTTGGCTGTATAGCCGCATGGCTGGGCCCTGGGAAGCTGCTTTGACTTGCACCAGGACCAGATATGGAGGGCACCGACCTTTCCTCTCAGCTGCCTGTGCCCTCTCCTGCTCTGTGCTGTGTCAGCATCATGCTGTGCAATTTACTCCCTGACTCTCCATCCTGCGGTAACAGGCCCAGCTCAGAAGTGTGATTGCAGCCATGGTGGCAGCGTGTCATTGCCTTTTGTTTGCTACAATACAGCTCTACTTGGGCAGAGCAGAAAGGAAAAGAACTAATAATGACACACGGGCGGAGGGGAAGCCCGTTTGCTGTGTATTTCATCTCGGGTGGGGACTCTCATTAAGCAGTCTCTCGGCAGAAGCAACCTGTACCTAAAGGTTAATTTCCACAGCAGTTGTTGCTGGGTTGTTTGATGGTGGGTAATTTCCATCCTCAAAGGAGCCTTTTACTCCTACCCAGCATTTAATGAGATTAAATTGCAACTTCTGCAAGGCCTGGTGGCAGAAGTGTGTATGTGTGGCAGGCGGGTGCCACGCTTTGTGTGGGCTCAATAGAAGGGCACTGGGGAGCGAGAGAAAACCCTTTCATCATGAAGGGAAAATAGTGGCGATGTTTGAATGCTTCATATGTGTTAATAAAAGACACTGCTTTTTCAGTTACACAGATTGATAAATACAATGGGCTTCTGTAAGAAACTGTCTGTAGGACAAGTTACTGTAACGTGACTTTGATAGATGCAGGATGCTCCTTTTAAGGCCTGGAGCAAGGTGACCTCAATGAGATGACAGTGGGCCGAATTTTCCAGTTGTCACAATTGCTGTGGTAAAAATGTTTGAGCATGTGAAATTCAGCAAGTGTTGGGAGGATGATCTGCCCCAAATGTGCTGAAGTGTGCTGCAGCTGTTCCTTGTCACCGCACCTGCCCTGCCTGGGCCAGGAGGCCTTGTGGGCCTCAGTGCCTGGAGCTGGGGCTCAGCTGTCCAGGATTAGCAGCAGGGAGCAGTGCAGACTCAGCACTGATGAGGACCCGCTTGTGTGAGGGATTCTCTCTGTCCTTCCTCCTCTGTGAGGGTCACTGATGTCCTGAGGAAACCAGCTGGACCAGCACGCAGCTCCCGTCTGAGATCACACATTGCTGCCAGAAAGCTTGGCCCTCAGCCATTTCCACTGGTGCATTTGGAACGGCCAGCCAGCAGTTCAGGGACAAATTCTGCTTTATAAAGGTTTGTTCGTGGCCATATGTGTCTGTGCTAATCTGGAAACAGTAGTTGTCAACTCAGGAGCTTGTCTTTATCTCAGCAGCGTGTTACGTATATAAAACTGGTCTTGTATCAGGAGTGGCCAGACTGAGGGTCATATTGAAAGACAGATCTGTAACCGTAGAAAGGATTCTGATCTGCTTGTACTGCTTAACGGCTGCAGAGATGTGTGAAAATGAGAATAAACAACCCGAGTCTTACCAAGTGTCAGTGGTTCCCTTTTGGTTTTGGTATCACATAAAGGAGCTCCCAGGGATTTGGGGCGGATGCTCTCCTCCAGCATACTGCGCTGAGCGCTGTCACTGTGGCTTTGTTTTTCTGTTCTTCCCCACAGGCGTGGTAGAGACAGGCCCTTTCCTGCCTCAACAATTGAGTCTTATTCTCCAAACAGTAAAACGGGCTTTAGTAATATTGACAGTTGCTGGGGCACTCTGAGAATACACTTGTGTTTACGTGGGTTCTGGCAGTGAAAACTGTTGGAGGTCTCACAGCTGTAATGTGGTGCTCCCTTCTCAACCCCGTTTTCGCCTTGATTCAGTGCACAGATACCTAACAAATGGGCAGCCCTCTGTGGAACGATTCCCCATCAGCTTTAAAACCCACTTCTCAGGGAACTATTTTCATCATGTGGTGCTTGGGATTTACTGCAATGGCCGGTATGGATCACTGGGCATGAGCAGGCGCTCGGACCTAATGGACAAACCTCTGACTTACCGAACTCTGAGCGACCTCATCTTTGAATTTGAAGACTCCTATAAGAAGTACTTGCATTCAGTCAAAAAAGTCAAAATCGGATTATATGTTCCGCATGAGCCACACAGCTTTCAGCCCATTGAGTGGAAACAGCTGGTCCTCAACGTATCCAAAATGATGCGCACAGAAGTCAGGAAGGAGCTGGAGAAGTTTGCCAGAGATATGAGGATGAAGGTAGGTCTGGTGCCTGGTTTTAGTTACAGGATCTCTCCTTCAGCCTGGGAAACGCTGGAACCCCACATTCTCCCCTGGCTGTCGAGGAGTCAGCACTCAGATTGTTTTCTGCATGTTTTCTAGCTCTGGATGAGGGTGGCCAGAGGTGGCCATTGAGGCTGAAGTTATGGGGTTTCTATACAGCTCCAAATCAGGCTGCTTTGGTGTTACATAAGGGCGGATGCGTGCAACACAGGGAAATGGGCCTTTCCTCTTTCCTTCTTTCCTTCTTTTCTGCTGAGAGGTGCAAGTCTGTAGAGGAGCATGATGGCAGTCCCCGAGGTATGCGAGCACATGTTGAGGAGAGTCACTTCTCCATGTAGGGCATGCTTCCCACTACCCGTGCTTCAGTCACGAGGTAGGTGAGGTGGGGAGGGAAGGAAAGCAAATCCTTGGCAAGATCAAGGGAAGCACAGGGAGAGAGGGCTGGCTGCCAGAGGGCTGCAGGTTTTGGCTGCCCTTGGGGCGAGGGGTGTCCCTGAGCACGCTGCCAGCATTGCTGTGGGCAAGAAGCCAGTCACAGCTAGGGCAGAAGGGGAGCTGGGGCCTCTCCAGTCTTCTGCTGGCAGCAGGAGCTGAGCAGGTGCATTGCTAAGTATGGGGCTGGCTCTTTTGGAGTGGTATGCAGGTTATTCTGGGTTCCCATACCCTTCTCTGCTGAGGAGTGGCTCATACATGGAAGCTATGTGCCTTTTTGGTAGGGGCTGCGGCAGCCTCCCTGCCCCGATGGAATACTGCTGCTGACGTTGGTGGCAGCAGGAGAGCCCTCTCCTGTGCTGCCAAGTAGGGCGAGAGGGGTGAGCGGTGCCCTCCCTCTGCCTCTACTGCACATCTATCTTCGGGAGTCCCCTGAGGTTCCCACCGGTCCCATGTCCTTCAGCTGTGCTGCAGCCAGGTGGGCCCAGTGAGCATCACTGCTATCTCTGTCACTTGCTGCCTGGGGCACAGGAGGAGGAGGCAGCGATGAAAAACGCTGAAGCCAAAATGGTCTTGTCCTGGGCTTCAGAGAGACAGCGTGTGGGGCAGTAGCACAGATAAGATGCCTTGTACCCTGATGTCATCTTAAGCAAATATGCTTGGTTACATTGTAATGAAGTTTTTTTTTTTCCCTTCTTCTCTATTCATACACTTCTAATACCATCTGGAGAGCAAATCACTTGAAGTGGGCTCCAGTTAAAGAAGTCCATGCAGGTAGACAGCTTCCTGAACTTAGTGCTTGCTTCTGACAGAGGCACCAGCTCAGTGTTTGTACCAAGCCATGATACTGTGTCCTGTCCTCAAGGCCCAGACCACAGCCCTGTACACTTGCATTCAGTCAAAAAAGTCAAAACTGGGGGCTGAAAACCCTGCACTGAACTCTGCCCTCATGACTATGGCTGTGCCTAATGCCACCTTGACCTCCTCTTAGTCAGCCACAAGATGACTTAATTCAGGGCTTGAGCCATTTAATTCAGAACACTTACATAGCAAGAGGTCTGATTTGGAGGATGGAATCTTGAAAACAGCCTGAAGTTCCTCTTAACCTGGGCAACATTTGAATGAACCCCAAGGGACCGAGGGCTTTGTGTGTGCCATCTGTGCTACTGCCTGAGGCCCTTCATTTCAGCTTTATTTTTTTATGAATTGTTGCCATCACAGAACGCTTCTCCCTCTCCTTCCCATCTCCTGCAGATTCTGAAGCCCTCAAGTGCCCATTCTCCCATGAAGGAGAGGTCGCGGGGTAAGTCGCTGTCCCCTCACCGAAGGCAGGCCAGCCCTCCGAGACGGCCGTTCAGAAGAGACAAATCGTGAGTACTCCTGTGCTGTCACTGCTGCCATCGCTGGCGTACGAAGTTGGGGGTGATGATACATTTATTATTTGACAGTGTACAAAACGTAGACGCTGGCATTTATAGGAAAACTGTACCAGGATCTTGACTGCCTAAGAGGCTCTCCAGTCCAGCAGTGCTGCTTGTCCCGGCGCTGCTGTGGTTACTGGCCCCTGATGGCTCCTCTGTACGGTGTCACTGGGAGCCCTGGTGACTCTTGTTTGGTTCAGCTCTACTGGGTGTTGGATGGCTGAGATAATGGAGGTATGGGTTCCACCTTTTATTTTTTTTCCAGTTTTTATACAGTACATTTTTGGGAGAAATGAAGAACATATCTTGGGGTGCAGAAGGCCTTTGCAGGGAGGAAAGCAGTTTGATCATATTTTGGGGTGTTCAGACATACATTTTAGAAACAGGAGAAGATCTCCCAGTGGTGTGGGGTGCTCAGCTATCACCGCTCCAAAAGAAGTTGCATTTCCTGTGAGCAGCACTGGTGTTGGGCTGCTATCCAGCTTAGAGGATTGTGGAAGAAGTCAGTCTTTCTCTTCTTGCCAAAGCAGGACTAGCCCTCCCACTGTAAACTTTTGATTCTAATCGGTTTAAAAAACCAGGCTACTTCATTCATGCTTCGTAGCTGTTTGTTTTTCTGCGAGTGACTGGGGAGGAACGGACTGTGACTGCAAGCGATACCTCTAAATGGACAGGAGTGAGCTGCCAGGCCTTTTACAGCCACCAGCACACTCCATACCTTAGATGCGGAAGAGTCACGCTCGAGCTGCACTGCTTCGTGCCAGGAAGCTGACAACTGCGAAAGCCCACACGTCACCCACATTAGTCACGCATTTATGATCACCTCTTTTTAAATAGGCTCCCGGACTACTGTCTCAGCACTTATTTATTTATTTTGAAGTGGCTAACAAAGACATTAGGCTAACTTTCTAAAGATAACTTCCAGATAGTTTAGCAGCAGATGATTTCACAGCAGGCTTTTATTTTAACTTGTGAATTCATACTTGGTCCGCGGTGCTGTGCTTTAGATGTCATCACTGCGTGCTCCTTGCTTAGTGTGTGAGTAATTACAGTCATGGCAGGCCCTGCTCCCCCCCAGCCTCATCTACTGGGTTCTTTTGGAGGGATGAGGTCCTCTCTGGGTTTCTCCTAATGCAGTGCAGAAGTGCAACGCAGGCATTGCAGCTTTATCTACGTTGTATGGTATTCTGAGCCAAACCCTCCTTCTTATCTCATGGGGATCTTAGTGCTGGTGCTGAGAGCGGGAGTCTAAGAACAGCAAGAGATGCACTATATGAAGTTTCCAGTGTCCTTTCTTCCTCCCTCTCTTTAATTAAAGCCAGTCTGGGTGGTTAGGATTCTATAATTCTCTTCTGTTAAGTACTTACAAACTGAGACGTGTTTGCTTTTTTGTTGTGAGAATAGCTGAGAACCTGGAATGAACTAGCAAATCAAATGCTTCTATAAACTATACACTGCCAGGATTATTTAGGTTTAAGAATGTTGCTGCAGGAGCTTTTCCATTGCATGCTAAGTAGGGAGAGACTGATTGCTCAGTCTTGAAGTTTAATTTATTTGGAATTGTGAATATAGTAACAGCATGTGTTTAAGTGAGATAACTGAAGTGAATGGCTTGATAGTACCAATCTGTAAGATGCCTGGAAAGTGTAAGGTGTTCGTCTCAGGCTTTCTGTTTGGCTGACTCTAGAATTTCATGCAGACTTAGGCAGTGGGAAGGAGTAGTCTGAGACTTACGTTACCATGTGAGAGACCTTGCCCATTGACCCTCAGTTTTCATGTTGCTGCAAAAGCCAGAGGATGGACAGCTTTTCTTCGCTGGTGGTGGGCTTTAATGGGAGCTTACTTGAGTAGCTCAGGTTATGCTCGTTTATGTAAGAAATTCAGCACGCTCGTGCTTGCAGCGAGAAAACTGGATGTAGATGGCCTCAGTTTGAAGTAAGCTGTACCTGGCTCTGCTGGTGCTCTCTGCTCCTGTGCGGCAGTGCCAGATTGCTCTCCCCTCCTCTCCTTGTAGGCCTGCGGTGGTGGACAAGAAGGGAGACCTGGCTACGCTCAACGAGGTGGGCTACCAGCTCCGCATCTAACAAAGCCATAGGCTGGACAGAGGGCTTCCTCGGTGCTTCCCACTGCACTTTACCCTCACTCCATTGGAAGGAAAAAGGAACGGGACTATTTATTAACTTGTGGACACTTACAGTAAAGGTTTTATCTAGAAAATAGAACAGAATTTTCTTGGTGGCTGTATTTATTTTCATTCAGTTCATGAAAAGGCATTAGTGAAGAGAACCTTCACTCTATCATGTAGGACATAACAGCAGTTGTATGTGAATTTCTGCAAGTAGAGTTTTGCTATGTGAGCATTAATGGAATTTGGACATTGTGCTGGCTGGTACCTTTGGGTGGGCTACAACTCATACTCTTAGTATTAAGATGTGCTGGGTGCAGTGTTTAAAAAAAAAATAAAATCACATTCAGTATTAATAGTCAGTTCAGCAATAAAAACAACCAGTGCAGCAGTGGCATGATTTTTTGAAGTGTCAACATTACCTCACAAAACTGAATAGATATGCAAAACTGTCAGTATTACTGTTTTGTAACAAGTTTGTACTGTTTCCCAGCATTCCTGGTAGTATTAAAATGGCACTGGACGTGCCCTGCCACCTCTTTGTTGTTCTGTGCATGTTGCTGAAAGACATTAATAGTAATATGCAAGTTGTATTCTTAAAAACACATTTTCTTGGGGAAAAATGAGTTTTTTAAAAAAATAATGATAATTGATTAATAATGAATTTCTAATATTTCATAATTTTTTATACTTTGTCACAAGCTTTTTGTCTTTCTTGACTACACTGCTGAAGCACAAGAAGAAGAGATTGCTGTTTTTGTAGAGACAAGTGTCCACAATAATGGTTTGTTGCTTGTGTATGTTATTGCAATCATGGAAAAAACGTCCAAATTGCTGAGTCTTTACACAGCTCTTTCAAGATTTGTGTGCAGCTTTGAACCTCGTCGTTGAAAGGCCAAGTGCTCTCAGATAGTGATGCCTTGACATCTTATATTAAGATCAGACATCACAGGCTGAAGTTAAGCTTCCACTGTGCTGCCGAGGGAATTTCTCTTGTATGCATCGTAATCACAACTGCTTAGTCAGACCTGAATAAGGAAGCTTGTATTGGAACAAGTTCAGCAATAAAATGCATGGTGTGTCTGAAATAACCAAGAACCAGGCTTGTCTGCTTCTTCCCTCTCTGCCCTTCTGCTGTGAGACTTGGCTAAGGACCTGTGATGGATGGCAGTGTTCACAAGTGACGTGGTAAGAGACTTTCATGCCTTTCACATGAATGAAGTTCTCTGGAAGCATTTGAGCGCTGCATTCATGAAAATATTTCATTAGGTGCCTAAGTAGAAACTGGATTATTCCAAACATCCAGCCTCTACCCTTTGTGCTGTGCTTATGGATTATACTGCCGTGGTCCTTGTGTACCTCCTCTTCTGGGCACGCACTTGTTTTGGAATCTCCTAGAAGACAGGACATTCTAACACAGTGACAGTAATACTGAATGAAATGGAATGATGTAAGCTCCCAAAACCCTTCCTGCATCAGCCAGGAAACGAATGAAAACAGAAGGAAATGAGTGCATATACCCAAACCTCACTGCTTGCTCAGAAGAGTCAGTGAACTCATCTCCCTAGGATAGAAAGCCAACAGAGACCCAGCAAGCTTCTACAAACAGCAAAACGCTCTTCGGTAATCATTCTTCACGAGGCCTGGAAAAAAGGCCTTTCAAATGTATTATACTTCCTTATACAAGATTACTTGATCAGTTACAGGGAGGCCTTTCTCATCCCTCTTTCCCCACCCTTTTTCACTCCTCTGTTCACAAAAGGAATTTTGGTTCAGGGGTGAAGTTGAAGAGAGGGAAGAATTTTTTTTAGTAGAAATTCTTGTGTAATTTGACATCAGCTACAGTCTTTGGTTTACACTTTGTGCTGCTCAGTGTCTTGTGACAGTTTTCTTCTTGTGTCTTAGATTTCTCATGGGTAAAATACTGTAGAAAAACTGACATGGTGATCAGCTGTATCATATAGCATGAGGGTATCTGGTATGTTTCTAGCTTTTTCAATGGAACCACAGTTTACTACTCTTTAACTCAAGAATCAGTGGTTGGTATATATCTATTACCAGGGTCCAGAGCGATCTGAGTTATTTCTTCTTAGCCTCTAACTTATACTGAAGCTCTTTTATGCTACAGAGCTGTTCTGAGGTGGTTCTTGTTCAACTGAAAATTTCTCTTGAAACTTGCTTATTATGGCATTTGTCTTAATGGTGGTTCTAGTGGCTGTTTTGTTACCTTACTGCAAAATGGTCAAATAATGTAGAAAACATGCATGCTGTTCTTTGTTTTTTTTCATTACTTGTATGCTTACGCACAGTGTGAGACTTCAATAAAATATCATGGTAGTCTTTGTAGTGACTCAGGGTTGCTTTTTGTCTTGTCTAACACTGGCTATTATTGGTAAGTGTCCAGGTTGTGATATTCCAGAGAATACCCAAGTCATTTTAAAATGTCACACTGACACAATATTTAAATACAGGACAAATAGAGAAGGTCAGAGTTGAGCACATCCAAAGCATTTGCTTTTAAATTAGTATAAAATTTAAGATTCAGACCCGCCCTACAGCATGTTTGGAATGGCCTATGGAAGTACTTCCTGCCATAGAAGAGATTGGAACTGACATGAAACCTGTCCTGTGAAAGAGCTGAGGCTTTAAGCAAAAGCTTCTCTGAGTGCCAGACAAGGGCTGCTTAAGACCTACTTTACCTCTCTCTTCCTGTTAAATCCCTTTGCAGAGGTACTCAGAAGGAAGTGGCTCAAAAGTAACTCCACAATAAAATATTATTTCCAGCTCATTACAAAGTTTGACGTGCACACAAACTCTTCCCTTTACTTGAAGAAATGCACAGTTCTCAGAGAATAATCAGTTTTACTCAGATTTACAACAAAGACCATTTACAGCATTTCTGTGAAAAATAATGCCATTTTAAGACTGGCAGATGTTTTCCATTATCAAAGAGGAAGCTCATGTAAACTTTTTTTTGCCTCAAAGACTTCATAAAGTAATTCAAACTCTTAAAAAAAGTCTCTTTAAAAAGTCTACTTTACCCAGCACTACCAAATCAGCATGCAAGCAAAACATTTAAACCGAACCGGCAGTGCTCAAACTAACTTTAAAAAATAAAGATCACATCAAGAGAGGAGGTGGGAGTAACTGTAGCTACATGGGAGGTCCTTTGGGTGTTACCGTTCAACCAGCCTGAACTCTGCCAGCAATGGCAGGTGGTCAGAGGAGTTATTTTCATTGGGAAGACCATTAACAGTCCAGAGATCTTTCTCTGTTAGAAGTGCCAGCCTTCCGAGGAGCTTCAGACCTCCGTGAAGAGAATCCTCTGTTCCTAAGTGAAAACAAACAGACAAAAACATTCACTGTAGACTAAAGTAAAAAAAAAAAAGTAATAGATGGCATTCATACATTTTCAGAAAGAACAGAACATGACAGTCTGTGGTTTTGTATGGAACAATAACCAAACAAGATGGTTTGGAATTTTTTCAATTTATTACTGTTCCCACACAGAAGGGCTTGCTCCCACAAGAGCTGCAGTGCTCAGGACACAGCCTCTGCACTTTGCAGGAGGGGGAGCTGAGGTAAGAAGGGAAAGGGATTTATTTGTCCATTGTACCTTCCCTGAAAAAACCCTGATACAATCCAGTCTTATTCCTTAGCGCAGCAGCATGGCTGTACAGAACTGACATTTGCAAAATTAAGAATCTCATGAGATTTACTGGGACACACAACATTTCTATATCCTCAAGCATGCAGTTCTCCAGCAGGCAGACAATACTCTCTCTGCTGAGGATGAAAGCATTTTGGCATCTTCATTCCTAATTGCTTGTCATAAGAAATGGATCTTACCCAGTGTTGCCTGCTAACTTTTCATCATAGCCTTAAAAGAAATCTTAGAAGTACCAAACCTCCTCCCCCTCTCCCCCACAGTAAAAGCATCACATTGGTCATGGTAGAGGGGAAGACGAATGAGAGCGTTTTACAACTTTATTATTATTACACTATATTTAAAATGTGTCCTCATTAAAAACAAACAAATAAACAAACAAACCACAAAGCAATCAGCAGCAGCAAGAACTTTTTTTTTTGCATTAAGAAATTCTATTGAGACGAGATCCTTTGTGATGCATCAAACCTCTCATGGGTAAAATGAGAGAGCAGACTATTCTGCACCCCTACCTGTTGGTTGCAGAGATCCTACGGAGGGAGCTGAGAGCTTTTCAGGAATGGCCCAAAACAGCAGGTGCAACTTTTGACAAAAATGTGCATGTAATGAACGTGTATGATCAGCTGATTTCAGAAATTCCAGCTGAATGTTTTAAGGGCTGGCTTACAAGTAGAACTATGTAAAGGATCGCCCAGCAACTGCTAAACTCCTTGCAGAGTTCAGGATCTTCACCCCCTTTGCAAACTGCTAGCTTACCAGGCCTCTGACAACCCAGCAGCTGCTTTCTGCTGCCTTGAAGGAAATCCTTCTTGCTGTAAAAATATCTCAGTGTCTTTAGAGCACGTCTGCTCAGCTCTTGAGCCAAATGTATTATTTGGCAGCACCTGCACTTCTACAAAGCAGCAGTTCATTGCTACAGAGAGCGTGGTCTGTATGCAGTGATTCATGCCAGCTCAGGGCATGCACTTTGGAAGCAACCAAATCAAATCCTGCAGCACCCACGTAAGTACTAACTCCCTTTTCACAGAAACATTTCCAGAAAACCAAACTAAGTTCTTGGTAAGCATACCATACATTTTTAAGTCACAGAGCACTCAGATTGCACAGAACTCGGGAGGAATTTAGAGACTCTGTTCTAGAGAAGCTTTTCATTTGCTGTATGCGTTATGACTAACAAGGCTTTGGTACATTCACTCAATGAATGTTAATGATCTAGACCCAAAGCATGAGAGATGAAGGTGCAGTTTTCATTTCAGTTACCAAGAACAACATCAATCCACTAAAATCAGTGGTAATCTGCACTGGGAGCAGGATTAGAATCCAGGTTTCTTTGCTCAGAGTTCTGCAGAGCCATTTATCTGATGGCACTGCGCTGTGCACTCATGGCTGGTAATGGCATAAGACACGCAGCTAACTGTAACGTGAAAAGCCTGCTGCTCAGGAGCACCACAGTAACACACAACTACGATCAAAGCAGTGCAGTTCCCCACCAGGAAAGGCACCCACAGAGGCACTGCATCTTTCTTGCACCATCTGGTGAGTTTTAGCTGCAACTGCAATCAGGAGAGTGACAACTGGGCTTCTGCCTGTGCCTCCTCTCAGAGGAAAGGCCATTCACTTGACATTAATTACGCCAAGACTATCTGAAAAGTAATTTTCTAGGAAGCAGTTCATTTAGCAGCTTTGGCACGTGTTAATAAAATTGCCATTTTATTGACTGAATGATTGGAAAAACGACTTTGTTGTAGGTCTGGCCACTCAGATCCTCCAGGAGTCAACAGTATTTTCCAAGTGCTACTTACATCACTGATTTTCTGTAGCCTTAGCTCTTGGTTTCCATGCTGAGATGGGAACTACAAGAATGTTTCTGTAGGTGAGAGTTTGCCCATTCCAGCTGTGGTAGGTTGACAAGGCAGCCATACCTCTGAGGTACTCGATATGGATCAAATTATCACGTTTCCCTTACAACCAGATCCAGAAGTTCCCTTTTAGCATCTCTGAAAAATAATTAGAAGTTGGTTTCTTTACCTGGTTGGGCAACAGAATCATCATTTGCTGCAGAATAGAAAATATAATCCACAGTGACTGCGCTTCGGGAGTGACAAGTTGTTACTTCTGGCAACCCATTTTCAGGGAAGTAGTGAGAATAGACTGAAGACAACTTAAAACGGTGCTGCAATTTTGAGGATAATCTAGATGGAATCAAAAGAAAAACATTTTATTTTCTTGCATTTCCTAGAAAAAGCCATCAAATGTTTCTTGTTCAAACAAAATAAACATCTGGATATGCAAGCAAACTGGTGTTTTCCTCAAGCAATCAGTCTCATCGCTTTTTGTGCTAGAAATGTTTATATAAGACTAGCTTATGAGAAAGGGACTGGCTGTGAAACTCATCTCTACCCGTGCCTTACTGTATGTAAAGAAATCAATGTTGTTTTTTTTTCCTGAACTAAAACTCGAGTGTTTTCAAGTTAGGCTATACCTAAACTTTCCTCTACTCAGGCTCCTGTTCTGCCTTTCCTCATCAGCAGCCTGTCTGCTCCTCTTCAGTTCATCTCATCTCATGTATGTATTCAATTCTGAAAGAAAAAGGCACAATTGCACCTTTCAGCAGAAGAGCTCTTCTCTCTATCCCAGCTCCCATCGGCTCAGCAAATCACCTTTTCCTCAGCTGTACCGCCTCGCCCTGCATGGCTGCATTTTAAACCTGATCTGCAGTATGTTCTTAAAATAAAATGTTTTGCTATTGTTTTTACAATTAAATCAGCCTGGATGGCAGTGGGTACAATACAAGAAAGCAACAATTTCTGCCCTGGAAATGGATGGGGAATAAGTTCCTCTTTTCAACTGATTCTACTGCCAACAGTTATACGTTGCAGCTTCTGTGGACTCCTGCATCCTGTGTTTTGATGACCTTTTCCATCTATGTTTAGCAGAAGCGCAGCTTTCCTGAGACAGTGCAGCCTGCCCTAACAGCCTGACACCAGCCAGTGCCAAATGGTTAAGCAGGGAGTGAGATCTGGTTAAACTTCAGCAGTCCTGTGACTCACAGCCTAGCCAACAATCATTGCATCTACACCGATTAAGTCATGTACAACAGCTTTTTCTTCCATGACTTTTCCTTACCATTGCTCAAGTACTTGTGCGGTGTTGTTCAGCAGTTGGTTTTACTTCTGCTGAAAGCAAAGAGTGTTTGTCTGTTTTATATCTACTGCCTGGAAATTTGTCATAGTGAGTATATTCTGTACTTAACCCTTCAATATTTGCTCATGTTCTGCTAGCTCTAGATGATTTTCCAGTTAATTCCCTCCCAGCTTTTTTTTTTTCTTAAATCAAGAGACCCAAGTCCATTTAGTCACTCTTCAGATCAAAGCTATTCCAATGACTTTGATCATCCTTGTTACTTCATTTCCCTTATAAGATGAAGCAAAAACCTGCAAGCAGTCTTCAACATGTGGCATGATACAGATTTATTTACACTGTAGCATTCCATTTTCTGTACTGTTATCAACTCCCTTCCTCAGAACAGTTATTCCTTGCCTTTTTGTTTGCTAGGGGTTTCAATCTATTAGCAGTGATACCAAGATCTCAATTCTGATAAGACATGGCTAACTTAGAGCCTGATATCACACACAGACCATTAAATGAGCTTCCTTCTCTTTTGCTTTATTTTACATGC